CTTTACCACATCTTCATATCTACAAGACACAAGTTTCTGCATCTTTGTGTGACTTGATTTGAGTCAGGGACAGTCGCTGAAGTCTCACAAGCGCTCCTTTCCTGTCAGCCAATGATGCACCGAGTAGAGCAATATAACGCCTCTTAGAGTCCAGCTGTTTTTGGTTAAGACCATGCGGGCTGTTTTGCTTTGCGGCCAATGAAATAAGGTTTCAAATAAGGGTAGACATGGCTGGGTTGCATAAAGCAGAGCCGTGTTATCGGCTTGCATAAGGAGTGACAAAACAGCTGAGAGTGGATTAATGCGTGCAGCTCCAAGCTGCGTCATAACAACTTTTTTTTTTTGGACGCCGATTTTGTTTTATTACAATGCCTAAGGCTGGAAAAAAAAAAAATATACTGCTCAGAAAAGGCGCTGGGGCTTATTTTAGCTTGAAAAGTAACAGTTTCACTATATTTTATAGATTTTTATACTATTGCAGGTTTATAAACCTAACATTTTGTTATTTACACTGATTCTGGAAAAAAAAGTGGAAAATAATTGCCTCATAAATGTTTTGTTGACATCAAAATGTTTCAATGTTATTCTATTGGTCAAATAGTTGAGTAAAAGCATTTGGCACAATCTGGCACTTTTGGAGAGAGGTTTTAATGAGGTCCTGCTTTTAGCTTTGGTGGCCTGGAGTTGGAAGGAGGCTAAAGCTGCTTCATACGTAGAGTTTAGTAAATCTAAATGTTTCTTATTTGTTTAGTAGAACAGATTCTACATTCTACAGGTTCTTCATCCTTATGGACTGCAGTTGGCTAATGCTAAACTGTTATCTGCATACAAAGAGTTATTTCCAAATCTAATCTTTATTTACTTCAGATAAAACACATTCATCGCTGAACTTATTTAAAGAAAATGTAAATATAATTTCTGTTCCTTCTAGGAAGTATGGGCGTACTTTTAGACAGGTTGACACTTTCTCAAAATACAAACCAAGTTAAATTTTCTCCTTTGGACTCCTGAAAACTTTAGAGTGATTTCCAGAGATGAAATGGTTGGGCATAAACACACACCAGCCAGATGGAGGAGCGATTGAAAAGAGGGGAAGTTGAAGGCAATGACAGAAAAACAAAAACAGACATGTTCCCAGCTGTACACTGCAGCACCTTTGCTCACCGAATAAAGAAGAAAAGAACAGGAAAGTAAGACTCACCTCCTTGCTTGCTCCTGTCAAGATAGATGGAAACCCTTCTGGCCAGACCTGCGAGCGGGTGAGGGTGGGGGAGAGGAGGGTGGGGGAGAGCAGGAACGCAACAAAGCCAGCAACATTTTAGAAAGAACCCCTTTGCATGCTGACCCAAAGAGTTGCATACATTTTTAAAAGAGCCGTTAAACTCGTGACATGATGAATGGAAATCATCACCTCATGAGTATTCGTCCACATGCATTCAGCAGAGAGATGAACAAGGCAGCTGCTTTCAAAGCAGCTTTTATGCAACTGGATCTGCATCCTAAACACAGACTGACCCCCAACGTCTAAACCTGCAGGGTCTAAAGTTCTGACTCGGCCTTCATCGAAGGGGAAAAAAAAAAACATCCAACAGAGTGGAGCGGCTGCAAGACTAGACGTCTACTGTTCCATGCAAAAATCATATCCCTCTGAAGCTTTTAACATTTTATTAGTTTGCAACCACATACTTTCAACTATATTATTGGACTTTAATGTGCCAGTATTGTGAAGTGAAAGGGGAGTTATTTATGGTTTTAAATTCTTCTCCAATAAAAATCTGTTCAAAACCTCAGTTCAAAGGTAGATGGTCCAGTTATATGACATTTGTATAATGTAGGTGCCAATATCTCACTCTTATCGCAATGTTTTTCTGAAAGATGACCACCTCCTGCTGGAGCAATATTTAAAAGTTTTGTTTTTGCCCAGTTTTTTTTATAAAATAAAGTCCTGTATAATTGCAATAACAATGGGGTATAACACTGAGCATGTGCCCAGGGAGTAGTCAAAGGAATAATCAGCTACAGCTGGGAATACACCTACGATTTTTGCCCTTTTTGAGGTTTATCAGCATTAGATGTTAACAGGGAATTTTACAATCGATCATCCAAAATACTTTCTTTAACTTTGATGGGCAAGTTGGACAGAGTTGGTGGAAGGAATGACTGAGATAAATGCAAGTAGTAGCTTGAAAAACAAATAAACTGAAGATCAACCTTCCAGCAGGAGAGACAATAAACATACAGCTAAATCATCACAAGAGTAGCTTAGATCAAGACCTTATCCTGTGTTAGTATGGCCTTGTCAATGTCCAGGGCTAAATTTAGCTGAAAGTCTGTGGCAAGATCTTGTTTAATTGCCATGAACTTAATGGAATTTGATCCAGCTATGACATTCACTGGGATTATTCTGTAATTTCCCTCTGGGATTATTAAAGTTTGTCTGATTCTAATTTCTGATTTGTTGCTGCAAAAAATGGCCAAAAAAATAAATTCTCTGCAGTTAGACATAACTCTCTAGTGGTTTAACAAACCAATTGGCTCAGAGGGAAGAAATGCAAAAATATAGATTTTCTGATTTTTATTGTATAGAGGTTTGAAAATAATGCATTTATTAATGACGTTGTTATACCATATAAGACCCAAATAAAGTACACTGATGTAGTATGTGATTGCAATGTAACAAAAGGTGAAAAGGCCGAACAGATTAACATTTTTGCAAGTTCCAGTATACGAACATCCAGGACTGGAAGTAAAACATAGAAAAAGGTCGACTAAGTAGGACATTAAATCAATTATGAAGATGCCTAATTTGTTATCAAATTGAAACAAATGTATTTTACATGATTAGTTTTCCAGCTGCCTTGATCATTCTCTCTACAGAAACGAGGGAAAATACCAAACAATATCAAAGACCCAACAAAGTAACAACAAGCCAGACAGTCTACAGAGATGCTCCACTGTTACAGAAAACAAAAACAGAAGACAAAAGCACGGCATTGGATGATGGAGATGGGGTGAGTGAGGACAGGTCCAGCAGGTACTAGGCTCCGACTGTTTGTCTCTGCCAGCCTCTCTTTGAGAAATGTTCAGTCTTGTAGCAGCTGCCTTCAGAGCTACAGCAGATTTTTGGCAGCATGAAGACAGATCTGAATAATATTTCTTTAGCTTTTACATTATTAATGCATCTGGAGCTAGTTAAAAAGAATCCAACAAGTTTTAGCTTATAATCGTAAATATCTTCTAAATAAATGTAATAATTCATAAGGTAATACTGGAGGTATTATGTGTGTAACTTGGAGTTAAAGCAACTGTTTGTAAAGCTGTAGAGGGCCTTTTTTTTTTTTAGAAACTTCCTGTCAAATAATTATAAAAAAAAAACAGGCTGAAGCTCTAAAAGTACAGGAGAAATCTCAGCTGATGCTTTCAGTATTTTCCAACCCGAGTAGTGACTGTCAATCCACCATAACAAGCACACCATTAAATGTGAAAGTCTTTGTAAAAACACTTGCAGAGAAAGAAAACGACAGAGAGAGAGAGTCCTCTGCAGGAGAGGAGCCTCTCAGGGCAATTTGTGGTGTGGGACTTATCCAGGCAGCAAGGTTAGTTAAATGTGTCGCTTCTCTACGATCCCTACAGTTCCCCTTGGAGCTCTGCTCAATCTGTTGGGACTGCTGCAGTGCCTTCAGGTCATCCAGTCACTTATCCCAACAGATCCAATGCTCAGTCAGATGTGCTGTGAAAAAGGCTGGACACAAGTTCTCCACAACTGGTGCTATCATAGCATAACATTAAAGCTGTGGCATAAATGGCTTTCAATTAACTAACGTAAATGTCTGATCAATTTATTACACTTTTGGTCAACAGTTGGGTCGTATATAAATTTAACTTCACAGAATCATGCAGAAACCAAATATAGTTTTTCACACAGAGTTTTAAGTATGAATGATGGAAACTCCAGAAGCTCAAACCAGCTTTGGAACCACACATTTAAAAGGTATTTGTTTAAACCAATTAGAAGTTTTGGTCCATGGAGTGTAATTCCTTTATGCTGTTCCACTCTGTATGATTGCTCACTTGGGGGCAGTGGTCGCTACAAGAAGGCATAATTATGTCAGAAAAGTAAATAACCTGTCCTACAATAGACAATTAAAAACAAAAAAAAAACAAAAAAAAAACGACTGTTTTATTTGGTTTTCAGGAAATTCAAAGAGTAAATTCAGTGACATACATAAAAGGGTTAAACTAAGGATTGTCAGTACAGTAAGTGTATTTAAGTGGAAATGTTTACTTAACATGCATCACACCCCAGTATGAATGCTGCATAAATTAGCCAATTAAATATAAATATTATGCCCAGCAAAACTGTTTAATTTTGCCTACAGCTTGTTAACAAATGCTGTTTAACCACAGGGTGGAGCATCATTCTATGATGCATTCAGGTGCAGTCCAAGATCAGATGATTATTAAATGATAGACTTGTTGAAACAGCATAACTGAACTAACATTAAGATCAAATGTTTATTTTTTTTATTGATTTAGAAATCTATATTAACAGATTACAATCCCAGCCCCATCTTTTCAAACCAAGTAAGTATTATTTGGTGTATCTAATGCATGCTGTAAAGGACATATTTGTTTTAGTGTTAAAGAAGTACAGAAAGTAGGATGGTTAAATGCAGTAGTGGGTATATATTTTCAGTCTTGCAGCTTTCTGTTTTCCCTAAAAAACTAATCTGACCCAGAAATGCATAAGTGCTTGAGGCAGAGAAATGTGGAGCAGCTGTGAGTGAGGCATGGGGGTGCGTACTGTGTGCTGCGGTACAACACTGAAGAGGGTGGATGTTTCTGACAAAAGTGTAGCACTCCTTCTGCCCTGGTTCACATATTTGTGAATAACTTTGCCTGGGGAAAAATTGGAAGTGTGTCAGCTAAGAGCGAATCTGCAGATTGTCAACAGTTTTATGTGATAGGTTTTACTGATGGGAGATAAACAATCCTGGAGGGGAAGGGGGGAAATTACCTACATGCTAAATGCATCATTCTGCAAGCGAGGTTGTAGTCTACAACAGATCTTATATTGCATTTGTTTTAACTAGAGTTTAATTAGACTTTGTTCCATAAAATATACATATATTAAACATATTATTTACAGCTGACAATAAACACTGTCAGTGGTTATAGAGCTTGGTTATATTTCTTTTCTAGGGATATTGTCCCTATGTCTGCTTTAAAAAAAAAAACATGCAGCGATTTCATAGCACTATGATTACATTTGGATCAGTGGTTAATGAGGAGTAACCCAGTTAAATAAACAAAGATGTCAGAAATGAGGGAAACATCCCACTTATGGCTTGCTTATAAATAAACTAACTGTTCATTATGACAGTGGAGCCCATTGCACATTCATAATGCAATGAGAGTCAGTATTTTAGGATATTTAATTATTTACTTAAGGTAAATTGTGTTTTTTTTTTGTATTCTAATGATATCTCAGTCAGCTTGCAGTGTTAGTTGCTATTCAAAAACTACTGGAGAAGTTTCTCACTCAGCATTCAAAGGAATGAAATGGGATGTAATGGGAAGTGAATCAAGTGGCCACTGGAACTGCACAGATTCAGTACTGAAGCTTTTCTGGATAATTTCAGCAGCCTTCCTGTTATACTTGCTGTGGAGGGGGAGTTATGGAAGTATGAATGGTTGGAAGGTGGGAGTGGGGATGAGAATTTGGTGAAATAACGGGACTGTGGGGGACAGGCCAGGACACGTAGTAAGATAAAATGTTGATCTTTACTGTGGGTGCTGGAGGAGGGCTGACCTCTGGTGGTTGGCAGCATGTCTGAGAGGCCCTGCCACGCCGTTACCATCTCTGGGTTCTTCTGGTCAGCAAAGTTCTTCCAGACTCGCAACGCTCCGTCATCTAATGAAGCAGAGAAGTGGAGAAATTAAAATTCAAAGAGAAGACATAGCTCTACAACTAAATCTCAACAGATTAAAATATAACCAATAAAAAGACTTCATGTTATATATCTTCATTACACACAAGGGAATACTTTTGTGGTGGCCTAGTAGTTAGGGTATAGAGCTTGCAATCCTGAGGTTCTGAGCTTGAGCCACACTCCCACAGACTGCCACTCTGGGTCCCACAATGCTCCCCAGGCACCGCACAATGGCAGCCCACTGCTCCCCAAGGAGAGGGGTAAAAAGCGGTACAGCACAGGTGGCTCATCTTTTTGGACAGGAGGCTGCCAGGAAAGGGGGTATGAGACATGTGGCAAAGGACCACAGGTTGGATTCAAATCCAGGTTGGCCACGTGGAGGACTAAGGCCTCCACACACTGGTTGTGTGCACTAACCACTGCACAACCAAAGCACGCCCCTGAAAATGAAACATTCAGTATGTAGGAAAATTACAACACTGTAGTATGCAAGATTAATAAATCAACTGATCTGTAGCTGAATTACAGTAAGAATAAATGCTTCAACATTTTCAAATGCCATTGTTAAATAAGTTGGCTGTTTACACAGTAACAGTAAGAATATTATTGGAAAGTTGTGTGGAACAGACATAAAAAGAGCAGAAGAGAAGGGTTAGCAGAATTAGACTAACAAGAAAATTCAAAATTTTCTTAAAAACTTGCTGAAAGCAGCATGTTTGATCTGCCCAAGAATGAAACTTTATGTAATTTAACTCTGTACATAACAGCCTAGTAAACTATTGGACCAAGAATAAAATCAAACCTTAGATTTACAAAAGTAATATTTATGTTATGATAGCTCATCATCATAAGCTAAAAAAAAAAAAAAAGAAAAAAAAAGATAAAATTGCCCAGAGAGCTGTTCCAAATGAAATTTCTTTTTGTTTTACACTGGTGTAAACAAAATGACAAATAAAATCTGTCTAAGTCTCTAAGTCATTAGCAACCTTTTATATGTTTTTTTATTAATCACTTTGACCCTTTTGTTTGTTTGTATTACTATTGTTGAAATGATTCGGTTCTCTTTTACCGTTCACTCAGGTCTTCTAGTCCAGCATTTTAATTGCTCTACTACCTGCTTCTATCATGTTTTTATCTTTATCTGCTTTTATTTTCCTTCCATTTTATTGTTTAACTCATTTCAAACACTTTTAATTTGTCTTTGTTCTGAGCTTTGCTAAATAAATACACGTGCCTTGCATTACCAGAGGTGTCAAAATTAGATTTAGTGTTAGTTTTTTTTTTAATATATATATATTTTTTTCCTTACACTGATAGGATTCAGTCCTGTAAAGAATAAGCTTTTTAGCATTGAGCTGATTTGGCTTACTCTCCGTTTCCTTAGTAACGGGTAAGGGATTGTCTGGTGGACAATTGTTTCATAGGTCCTACGATAAGTTTGTATTCATTTTTTATATGACATATTTTTCCACACAAAGTTATGTTAAGTTTTCATTAGTTATGACCACTGTTGCATGGATACGAATACCAGTACCGGGCGGGGGCCCCGATCCAGCACTAAAATGTTGGTATCGGTAAGTAACGACAAATTGGGCACCGATACCATTTTGAGAGCCAAAAGTTTATTCAACTATTGTCACCCATTCCAGGTAGGCAATTAAAAGTTCTACTGGATTCACTTTGTTTTAGTTTTTTCCTGCTTCACAAAGGTAGGCAGCAGCTTAAAAAAAAAACAATCATGGTAATTATTTTACATCCAAGTAGTATGCAGTTCTTCATATATACACACACATCAATTTCAAACAGATGGTATCAGCCAATACTGCACAGCCAGGTATCAGTTTCAGCGCAACACTAGTTATGAGCCATAATCACCCAAAGCAAGAACAAAATAAAACATAAAAACATATAATACTTTGTGTAATGAATCTATGTTATGAATTAGGTTTCACTAGAAGTTAATTTTTCACTGAAGTGATTTAACTTTTAAATATCTCTTTTTTCCTAAGATGCCTCCTTAAAGTGTGATGAAGTCTTCAGGGGTTCCACTTATAACTTCTCTGAACTTTAAACATCACCAAGAAAGTTATCCAGAGTAACATCTTAAAACGCTGTTTACCTAAAACATCTTGAGAGGAAAAAAAGGACTGAAGCCTTGCCCTAAAAAAAGCTCTGCAGCTCAAACACGACTAAGCATAAAACATATCCACTCGCGTCTAACAGAAGATTATTACAAGTTATAAAAGTTCTCCCTGGATTTATGCTCATTGCTTTACTTGTTTAATGCAGTATCTGTATGAGAAATGGTATCCTTCACATCCTGACTGATGGAGAAAAGCTCAGTAAGTTCACATTACTTTTTGATGAGACCGAATTTAAAAGCATTAATTGCTGGGCATTTTTGCAACGTGAAGCCTGCAATTACAGGCGATGTTTATTCTTAGTTAGATTGATGCTTTTAGAAACAAACAGGACAAATGAGTTTTAATGCTAAGCATTATGAAGATAGAAGAAAAGATGGCTATAATGGCTGTGCAATATCAATACTGAATACAGAGAATTATATTTATGATAGTGAAAATGCTGCTAATGGTCTAAAGGGTTCAGATATTTTTTTGTTGTGTAAATTGTTTAATGCCTCTTGCCTGTGGCAGTGAGCAGTAATGAGCAGTCATGTCCGTTCAGGTACTCCATGGCTGTAATCCGGGTGTAACGAGGGTTTCCGTTGTAAAAGTAGTCCAGCCTCTCACCCTTCTCCCAATCCCAGAAACTGGTAGAGACACAAATAACCAGGCTCAAAACAATCACATGTGAGACAGAGCCTAGCTCCACAACAATATTGCCTAAATTAATCTGGAAATATCTGCTGAATGCAGGCAGAGCGCTGCGGCGGATTCCTTGGTTTCTCACCAGATGCTGTCCTTGTCGGCCACAGCAATGCAGGTGTTGAAGGGGTGAAACTTCACAACAGATGGTACTCCCGGGTTACGGTTGATGAATATTTGATCGTCTAGACGGGAAATACCTGCAGTAAAAAAAAAAAAAAAAAAAGGGGAAATCAAAAAGATGTGTGAGAAATGTCTTAAACCTCAAACGGTGGAACGGTTTATTGTCTGTAGCCGGTGCCTCCCATCTCGTATTTTCACCTGACGAGCAATATAATAGTTTCCAAAGGATCTGGGAAGAGGCAAGTTTGATAAATGCATCGAGTTACCAGGAATCTGTTAGTGCAGCACTGATGCATTACACAAAGAATATACATTTATCATAAAAAAATAGTATTGGTGGTTATGCTCCACAAGCTTCAGAAGTATTTCACTGTCTTCTATCTCAATAGAAACCCACAATAAATTCAGTAAAAACAATTGAGAATGTAATTTTACATCTGGGAAAAGTGAATATCATGCAGTCAAAAATTAAAAGGATACACAGAAAATATAAATATAGGTGTGTTCAGATAAGACACATTTAAAAATGATACTACTAAAGATTCAGAAATACGGAAATGGGTGCAGAAGTCAAAGGGTAGAACTAATAATCTGAAGATCCTGCCAAAACAAAATGAAACAGCTACTATATCTATATCTATGCTTATCCCAGGTAGATATAAAGCAGCTCGGAATTTTATGGTGTTTATTTTGACTTTCTGAATTCCAAGTCTAGCATTTTTGTCTTGCCCAGTCATAGTCCTGACATGAATGACTTTAATTGTGTTAAGGTCTCCCAATGATAATTGAGGCTTATTCTTTTTGATGTCTTACATTTGATTACAAATAGTGAGGCGGAAATGTTTCTTATTAGGTAGGAAAAAAATCCAAATACAGCTGAAGAATGCAGTTTTAAGAATTCACTGGTGTCTTAATTTAAGCCTGAGAGAAACATTGACCTGAATGAGTTAAATTTCATGTGACGGCCAACATAACCCTTAAAGTTGGCTACTTCATGAACACTAAAACATCCCTGCAAAGAGCGGAGGCTCTACATATGTAAATAGGTGAAGCAAAAAACGGAATCAGTTTCTAGCTTTACCCTCTTCTTCTCTGCCCCTTAGCCTTCCTCTATCTTTGCACTCCTCCTCCCCGTTTTTGCACAGTCTTTCTCAGGAGGGAGCCGACTGAATGAGGGCAACCCTTCCATTTGTTAGAAAAAAAGAAAAACTGGGGGGAATTCAATGAGGGAGCAGGCATAAAAAGAAAGGGAGCGGCGTGAACATGAGCAACACTCAGCTCTGACGCCAACCGCCTCATGACTCTGTGTGTGTGTGTGTGTGTTACAATGGGCTGCCAGTGACGTCAGGCTTGTTAGTTATTCTGTTTGAGAGTGATATAGCTTCACAAGAGGAATCTGTGAATGTGCTGCCACTCCAGGCTCTGAAACGGGTCTGTGGGTGTGTGTTTGTGCGTATGAGGGGAGTCCTATGACTCATATTTTCCAGTTGCAAACATATATCCTCTCACTGCTGTGAATTATCTGCACACAATTTGCTCTGTTGTCACGTTTAGCTTTTTTTGAGCAGACATGAGACATGAAGCTAAGAAAATCCCTGAGGAACATCATGAAAAGTTACGCTTTGTTGCTGCATTGGAATGCACTGGTCTATACATCTACCCTCAACTCCATTCTGCAGACTTCCTAGTTCTGGTCAATTAATATAATAGTTAAAAAAACAACAAAGATTTGAGGAAACTAAAGTTTAAAAATCAGCCTCTAAGCATTGCATTTCCTATAAGCCTCCTCAGAATAATACTTTTTTTAGTGTCAATACATAAAATTGGTAATTGGATAATTGGCTAAATGAGAGCGCATGCTATGGAGCTTGGCGCTTGTTGGAAATCAGTTCTTCTGCTTTATTAAAATGCTTAATTGTCAGTCTGTGTCCAAAGATCAATGACATTTCACGTGAGTTTGGACCAAAAGCCCAGATCTGCTTCAAATTCAGTGGAATTTAAAAGACTGACATGGCATGGATTGCAAAACCCGGCACAGATTATCAAACCATCAATTGTGGTTTCTCACGGGGTCTGGTGCTATCCCCATTGTAACTGTAATTGGTTAAAATCAAACTTCTGTAGGTGGGCACCAGTCATTGTTTTGACAAATCAGCTTTTTTCCTGAATGTCCCTCCGTTCCCCGAATAGATTAAATGAAAGCAGTACTAGATGGTCCTGGTTTGCCAGGATGGCATAATCTCAGTCTTCTTTCAGTTTGTGCAAACTCTTACGTTACAAACAATTCAGAATATATGACAGTTTTAAAGCATCACCGCTTTTGGGAGGGGAGCGTCTAAAGACAAATAAAATGGGGAATGGAGGTCACATGACGGGAGACCTGTGGCCTCTTCATCATTCCTTTTGCTCCTGTGTGAGGAAGGGCACCACAGGGGCCACCAATCCGGCAATAAACTTGCTGGGCTGGTTGGTCAAAGGTGGTGGCACCCCTTCCTCCCTGACATTTGTAAATACATGTGCCATTTGTTCGAAGTTTAACCCTAGGGCTACCCTAAACCTCAGGATGGGAGCCTTCCCTGAAAAACCTTGGCATGCAGTTGTAATTGATTTTGAGGACATGGGGAGACAATAGAGTGAAAGATTGTAGATATTTGCTTGTTTGTGTTGACACTTTCACCAGGTGGGTTGAAGCCACACCCACCAAAACAGAGTCCGCCTGAGAGGTCATAAATTGGTTAATTAATGACCTCGTTACGATGTCACTCTTTCTATCCGTTAGGATAATGGGATGCATTTCACATCAGATTCATATTTTGGAAACAGACATAGATTCGGAGTAGCTTACCATTCAGCCTCTCAAGGGCTTGTTGAACAAGTGACTCGCACAATCAAGGAACAATTAGCTAAAGTTTGTGCAGACACAAAAATTACTTGGATGGATGCGCTAACTTAGGAGATGTTTTCCAAACGATCATCACCCACTGAGCGTATGGGCTTGACCCCTCACAAGCTTCTGAGAGGACGGAAAATGCCTTGTACATTGACCTTGTCCATCCAGTCGGGGAGTACCCCCACAATGGATGCTTCAGTCTGGGAGTACCCCCACACTGGATGTGCAAAGGGAGAAAGTAAAAGCCTGCTGTCAAGTTTTTCTCCGACAATGTACAGGAAGCCCAGACCAGAGAAACGACGGGAGAGTTCCCAGCATGGGTGGCACCTGCAGACTGGATACTGTATATAGAACAGTTTTCCAGAGGGCTTAGAAGGACCCCAGGTAGATAGGACCTTTTAAAGTGGTGAGTTCCAACTGTCACAGTGTGAGAGTTTGGTTGGACGAGGACCAAACTAAGGTGAGCAAGTCTTGGCATAGAGCACATTGCAGGAAAGGTGAGCCGCATTTGAAAAGGCACCTTAGAGAAATCAGAGAGCACCTGAAGTATATTATAGAGGACGTGACAAATCACGATGTTGATGCACTGTGAAGGGAGGGCATTCTGGGAGCTCCTGGTCGTGACACTCATGGAAATTCTCACCGTTGTGACATGGGGATGCAGGGTGAGTATAAATACATGGGTGAATAGGGCTGATGCTTGGTGGTATTGTGGTGGGAGAGTATTGTGGGGTTGGCTGCCAGTATATTGGAGGGGAAGGTGCGTTTTGGTTTCCCTGCTTTCCCCCATCCAGGTCATCCCTGAAGCTGACTGTCCAAGTGCTTCAGAGGGTGCTTTCAAGAATCATGTGAACAAACACTCCGTGGACCCATATGCGGATTCCCCAGTAGGGATTGATGCTATTGGAATACCAAGAGGGGTTCCAGATTAGTATTAACTGACTAACCAGATTGCGGCGGGTTTTGCGTCTATATTTCTTTGGATCACTCGTAATATAAATGTGGATTTCATAAATGATGTACACTACAACGTTCAACACTTGTCAAAATACACGAATGATGGATTTCAGGCTGTGCACGGCCAGCTTTCACCTCCCTAGTGTCCTATCAAAACAGGCTAGCCTTGGACATGGTCCTGGCTAAGGAAGGGGGGTGTGCAGTATTATTGGGGACAGTTGTTGTTCTTACATTCCAGAAAATACGAGCCCGGATGGATCACTCAAAAAAAGCTTTGAAAAGACTGAAATGTCTATCAGATGAGTTTAAATCACACTCAGGAAGTGATGAGCTATTATCAAGTATGTTTGAGTCATGGTTTGGAAAATGGGGGAACCTTTTGGTAAGTATATTTACTTCCATCATTAATGTAGCTGCTGTGATAGCAGTTTGTGTGTGCTGTTTCACGCCTTATACTTGTGCTCTAATCCTCAGGTACATAGATAGAGCCATTGGTTCTCTTGATGGAAGCAAATTGGGTGCAACAGCCACCTACCAGATGCCACTGACACGTGTCGACCCCTTTGTTAAAGGAATATGAGTAGGGGGAGCCAGTGACACATTTTTGGCACATTTTTGGAAAGTAACATAATCAAATTCCATACATCAGTATTTACTATAGTTTGAATGAAAGTGTTTTGTAAATGTGCTGCTTGTATGTAATATTTACCTCTTTGTGTTATAACCCGACTCTGTCTTCTAACACGAGCATTCCTGAGGAACCTCCACTGCCGCTCCATCCTCACCTGACTCTCCAGGTCATGCTCCTCTGGAATCTGAGAGGATGTAAGGCAAGAACACAAACAATTCTCCTTAAAAATGTAGAACAACTGGAGGATATTTAAAAAGTACTTTGACAAAGACAATCAGCAAATTTGATTTGGAATGCTATCTCACTGTTTTTCCTTACAAGAAGACATTACTGTCAAAACCTTTGATATTTATTTTCTATACGTCATAAATGAGGAAAGTAGATTGAAGCAATATGTTTGATATAGAAAAAGAAATTGAAATAATCCTCATCTGTTTATCTTTTTCTCAGCAGAGTGCAAACTGTTCCCCCCTGACAACATAACAAAAACCATAAGGTCTTTTTTGTGTTATAGGATGATGGAATAAGATGGTAAATCATTATTATGTGATTAAACTTAACCACAGAGAACATTTGCTGAAATCCTTTTTGTGAATGCCGCTGGTATTTTTCCCAAAAGGGATGTTTGAATCTAATTACTTCCACATTCATTTACTTTATCTAAAACATGCTTATAAAGCGCCTAAAAGTAACTATTCATTAAAATATAACATAAAAGGTACCACAGCGTTCTCGGATGACTGGGGCACTGCAATAGAGGCATGTTTGCTGAATAATAATATCCTCAAAAATAGCTATTTCATTAGACTTCTAATCCTCTAAAATGGTAATCAGGAACTGGCTGTCAGAAAGTTCCACATTTCAACATTTGACTGAAAAAAGATCACAGTTGTCTGACTGAAGAATCCATGTTTGACAAAAACCAAACAGTGTTTCAGTGCAAACAGTAATATTAACCTGTTGAGCCCACAAGGGTTACGAAGCAATTTCCTGTTTAAATGACATAACTGAAATAAATCAAGGACAGCTCTGCAGATGTAAAGACGTAATGCAGCTCTTTGGTACCAGCATAAACGGAAGAGAAAATAAGAACTATTTTAATTGTTACTGTGTCAGATTTATTTGTGATCATACAAAAAAAAGCACACAAAAAAAACAACCACCACCAAATGTTTAAGCATCAACCTAACAATAGTTCGAAAAAAAAAAAAAAAAAACGACACTATGAAAATCCATTTGAAACCCCTCACATTTTATTAATGTTTATTTATTTATTTGGCATATTTCAATAGAAAGACAATTCAAATGCTGCACATGAGAAATAAAAAAGAGAAGGAAAAGCACATAGCAGTGGGATAAAAGTAACGGGAATAATTAAAGAGAATAAAAATGTATGATCAAAATATCAATATATAGAAAGTTTAAGATGACTGATAACAAATAGGGGACAGTTGGACTGAAAACTAAATTATTCTTAAAAAGCAAACTCAAAGGCCACTCCGCAGAATTAGCATTTATTCTAAACATTAAGCAATTTATGGTTTAACAGTTTTTTGGGAGTTAATTCCAGATAAATGGAGCATAAGTACTAAAGGCTGCTTTGCCATATCTGGTTCTGTGTATGCAGAGCAGGTTTGAGCCACACGCCTGAGAGGTCTAATATACTGACTGCAAGATATTTTGGTGTTAAGTCATTCATTGGTTTATAGAGTAGAAGAAGTATTTAAAGTCTATTCACTGAAAGAGGGGGAGCCAGCGTAGCCAGGCCTTTAGAGCTGGGATGGTGTGCTCCATTTCCTAGTTTTAGTGAGGACGCAGGCAGCAGCATTCTAGATCCACTGCAGCAGAGCTATTAAGACATGAATGCATTAATCATTTCTATTAAAGATAAACACATTAATTTGTTTTTCAAGGTCCCGTTGAGAGAGCCTTTTAATTCTGAAGATGTTCTTTAGGTGATAGAAGGCTTCCTTTGTTACATTCTTATTATTAGTTTAAAGGTATAGAGGACGATCTTTTTTTTATGAGTGGATCATCTAAATAAGCTGTCCTCCTAAATGTCAATCATTCTGGTGACATGTTTATGTAAGGCTGTCCTACATGCTCGCCCCATTAGCTAATTTTTTCTGTGTGCGCACTTCCAGGCATATATGTGTGGTGAGCTATGGTTTCATTCAGTCATTGAAGCTCACCTTTCTCACCGTGGATCTTTGAAAATGGCCAAGGTTCTTAAGAGAAAAAGTGTCTACGAAGTGTATGAGACAAAAGAAAAGCCTCAGAAAAGGCAGATATATCCCAGAATGCTTTGCGCGGAAAACTCTCCTCACAAAGCATTATGGGATTTGCTGTTACAGCGGCCCACAGCTGCCATAGGCTGTCGCTACCCAACAGCAGCGACTAATGACAATGATGGCGCAGTGGACAACAGGGAAGTGATCATCTGTCCTAACGGTAAGTTGACTGAGTTCACTATATAGTCCCCACTCTATATAGTCATTGAGGGATAGAGTGGACGTTGGGACACAAGCTTACTGGGACACGGGGAGCTTGTATGACCTAGGAGAACAGTAACAAGCATGCTTAGTGTGAGGCAGATGGCCGCTCACACTGAGCCTGGTTCTGCTGGAGGTTTCTTCCTGTTAGAGTTTTTCCTCCCCACTGTCGCTACAAGCATGCTTAGTGTGAGGGATTGCATTCGAGTGAATGAGTCGATGCAATCAACTGGTTTTCCTTAGATAGAAAACTTTGAATTAATGTGACTGTATGATCTGGTTGAACTGTAAAGTACCTTGGAATGACATGTGTTGTAAATTGGTGTTATATAAAGAAACTGAATTAAATTGAATTTGTAAACAGAGCGTGAACAGAACGAGACATGGGTTCATGCATGCGCATTTTTGGGTGGGTCTTTAAAAAAAAGAAAAAAAAAAAAAAGAAAATAATTAAGAAAAACCTCCAAAATACCTTTAACATACCTTTTGTGGACAGTGTAAAGGGCGCAGCTGTCATTTCAGCACAATTTAGCCAAATTTGTTTTTCCCCTTTAATATGAATCTGGATAAATAGTCCTGAACATAAAACAAAAAATAACTGGAATACATTTTGCATAACAAAAGTGACTCCAAAGAATGGATTTACAGCAAAAAAAAGTGTTTCATTAAACCTACATAAAATATCTACTCTAAAATAACGTATTTGTCAAGATGAACGAATAAAAGTATTAGATTTCAAATTTCTTAAAATAAATAGAGGACAGAGGAAAGATGTATGTTTGTGGTTTTTAATTATACTGTAGCAGCCCATGGGTGCTTATTAAGCATCTTTCTACTGCAAAGTCTTCCCCCCTGAATGCAAAACAGCCCCAACCCACAACTTTAACACAACTTGAACATACTAATACTGCCTGTTATCAAAATCCCTCTAACATTTAGACACATGCGTGTGTAGCTTTAAAATAAAATGTGCGTAAAAGCTCTTGGCCATGTCAGATGGCTCATGAATACTTCCTTAGGGGCTTTTTGACTGCTAATAAAGTAATAGAGGAGGCAGGTTGAGTATACTGACGTGTTTTCCAAACTGAGAGAGAAAATGAGTGAGGCTGTGAGGATCATGTCAAGGTAAACGCCTGCTCACTGTGCTGCTTCCAAGGCTGATGCCCTGCTGCATGTCAGCAGCTAACGGATTGTATAATGAGACCCTCAGGAGATTGATGACTGTTAGTGTTAAACACAATAGATCTGTAGTAAAATACGTATTGCATGACGTGGCAGCTACTATTAGAGTATTTGTCATTCTGGTGAAAAGTTTTCATTCTCTTATCAGGGGGACAAATGACTGAGTTTATAGTGGATTTTCTCTGATTTACAGTGGGGAAAAAAATCTGTTATTTGTTTAAATATAAAGACTGTGTTAAACGTTCTATAATCTTGAGACTGTAAACCTGTAGTTCACGATACTTCTTTATTCTATAATGCTAATATGACTACGAAGAGAAGAGCTTCTTTCTTCTGCCATGTGTCAGAGCTGGTTTAAGCAGCTGAGGAGAAAAAAGATAAAGGTCCTTTTCCACGGTAGCTTACTGAAAAGGTCGTTATTCACTGATGGTTTTTGGGGGATTCCTACTGTTTTTATGTATAAAAACATTCATTTATTTATTTGGAACAAATATCAATACTATGGTTAAACACAGTTTTCTTCATGCAAGAGGAATTACATTCAATAAAATGACAGAGGCCTTCATCGTAAAAGCTTTGATATTCTTGTTTTTCCCCGACATCTACACAGCGCCAAACTGAAACTTACATGCTCATATTTTCTTTATTAATTCATATATGAAATATGTTTTAATTGCCAGACCATAAAGCCTCCTAATGACATTTATACAGCCCATGTTGAAAAGCTGGAAAGTTGACTAGCCTGAGGCTGCCAGTTAACAATACGACACATTTTTAAAAATTGTGTTCCTTATTTTCTGATGCAGATTAGCGACTGCTGAAAGAAACCAATGATAAGCTGGGATCAAATCAGATGATGATTTATCTTGAATCCCATTTAAGATGGCACCGATTCTGGCTGGTCATACAATCCTCCAGATGCTTGTTTACGTTTTTGTGGTTTGTAGTCATTAGGAGTAACAGAGTTACACAATAATAATAATTGGTATGGCACTATTATTTAATTCAAATAGTAATTAATTACTTTTCAAATAACTGTAATGCTGTTACGTTACTTGCAACCTAACACAGTGCATAACTTTTCTATAAAAGTGACTTTTCATAAGCTCTCTCTCTCTGAAGCAGGAAGGGATTGTTTTTAGATTTTTCACGGCAGAGATGTAGTAGGGTAGCTAAGAAAGCAGTATCATTAATGCTGATTGGCTGAGGGTGTACTGTGGGCAGGTGTTCACCATGCCTTTATTACTGCTTACACAGACTGAAGAGGAGATGGAAGACAGTCCAGCAGAATCAGTAACAGTGCTACTAAAGGGTAAGAGCTTGCTTAGAGCTCAGGGCTAAATGCTCCTGTGATTTGTTCATTATGTCAGAAAAAAATACTTTACCCATGTTGGTGAGAAGCCACTAATTCAGTGAACTGCCTCACTTCTTCTCATCATAAATGACAGACTGACAACTGGCTGGCTTAGTTTAGAAACACTTATTCCTCTTTCCTTTTTCAAAGTTATAT